TCCATCGCCATGTACTCTCCGTTTAATCGGAATTTGTGAAATGCCCAAAAATCTGCATCTACAAGAGAGGGCCGAACTGGTGAACTTGGCCTTTGTCAATTTTATCAAAACCACACGCTGCGCTAATGGTGCTTAGCAGCTTAGTCATTGTGAAATCATGATTACTAATGTATTGTAGACCAACAATTGCTCAGAAATCTACAGTTCCTATTCCAATAAGGAAATCTGTAATACAATCCTACATCTTCTAATGACTGGTAAAATAAACGCAAAAAGGTGCTCCACATGTGAATCGAACTCCTGACATTGCATTCGGCAAGCTCATACGTGCAACACGCTAACCAATTACGGCAAACTCGTTCTCCAGAGAAATGCCGCCGTTTTTGTGAAATTCGTGAACTTCTTGGAGGTTTGCTGTTCCATTTACAATGCGTAACTAATCTTTGATACTATTCAGTGCCCTCTAGTAATCACAAAATCCAGTGCAAAAGTAATGCTCCATGGGAGGATCGAACTCCCGACCTTGGCATTTCTTAATCTTATAAGTACCACGCGCTAACCAACTGCGCCAATGGAGCACGACAGTTCAAGTTAGCCGTTTGATTGAAATTTTGAAATTTCCTAGACAGGTGCAGTTTCAATAGTGTATCCAAGTAAATACCAAGGTGAACTAAAATTTAGTGCTCCATGGGAGGATCGAACTCCCGACCTTGGCATTCCTTAATCTTATAAGTACCACGCGCTAACCAACTGCGCCAATGGAGCACGATAGTTCAAGCTAGCCGTTTGATTGAAATTTTGAAATTTCCCAAAAAAATGTGCATTTTCAATAGTGTATCCAAGCAAATACCAAGGTGAACTAAAATTAGTGCTCCATGGGAGGATCGAACTCCCGACCTTGGCATTCCTTAATCTTATAAGTACCACGCGCTAACCAACTGCGCCAATGGAGCACGACAGTTCAAGTAGCCGTTTGATTGAAATTTTGAAATTTCCTAGACAGGTGCAGTTTCAATAGTGTACCCAAGCAAATACCAAGTTGAACTAAAATTTAGTGCTCCACGGGAGGATCGAACTCCCGACCTTGGCATTCCTTAATCTTATAAGTACCACGCGCTAACCAACTGCGCCAATGGAGCACGACAGTTCAAGCTAGCCGTTTGATTGAAATTTTGAAATATCCCAAAAAAATGTGCATTTTCAATAGTGTATCCAAGCAAATACAAAGGTGAACTAAAATTTAGTGCTCCATGGGAGGATCGAACTCCCGACCTTGGCATTCCTTAATCTTATAAGTACCACGCGCTAACCAACTGCGCCAATGGAGCACGATAGTTCAAGCTAGCCGTTTGATTGAAATTTTGAAATTTCCTAGACAGGTGCAGTTTCAATAGTGTATCCAAGCAAATACCAAGGTGAACTAAAATTTAGTGCTCCATGGGAGGATCGAACTCCCGACCTTGGCATTCCTTAATCTTATAAGTACCACGCGCTAACCAACTGCGCCAATGGAGCACGACAGTTTAAGCTAGCCGTTTGATTGAAATTTTGAAATTTCCCAAAGAAATGTGCAGTTTCAATAGTGTATCCAAGCAAATACCAAGGTGAACTAAAATTTAGTGCTCCATGGGAGGATCGAACTCCCGACCTTGGCATTCCTTAATCTTATAAGTACCACGCGCTAACCAACTGCGCCAATGGAGCACGACAGTTCAAGCTAGCCGTTTGATTGAAATTTTGAAATTTCCAAGAAAATGTGCATTTTCAATAGTGTATCCAAGCAAATACCAAGGTGAACTAAAAATTAGTGCTCCATGGGAGGATCGAACTCCCGACCTTGGCATTCCTTAATCTTATAAGTACCACGCGCTAACCAACTGCGCCAATGGAGCACGATAGTTCAAGCTAGCCGTTTGATTGAAATTTTGAAATTTCCTAGACAATGTGCAGTTTCAATAGTGTATCCAAGCAAATACCAAGGTGAACTAAAATTTAGTGCTCCATGGGAGGATCGAACTCCCGACCTTGGCATTCCTTAATCTTATAAGTACCACGCGCTAACCAACTGCGCCAATGGAGCACGACAGTTCAAGCTAGCCGTTTGATTGAAATTTTGAAATTTCCCAAAAAAATGTGCAGTTTCAATAGTGTATCCAAGCAAATACCAAGGTGAACTAAAATTTAGTGCTCCATGGGAGGATCGAACTCCCGACCTTGGCATTCCTTAATCTTATAAGTACCATGCGCTAACCAACTGCGCCAATGGAGCACGACAGTTCAAGCTAGCCGTTTGATTGAAATTTTGAAATTTCCCAAGAAATGTGCATTTTCAATAGTGTATCCAAACAAATACCAAGGTGAACTAAAAATTAGTGCTCCATGGGAGGATCGAACTCCCGACCTTGGCATTCCTTAATCTTATAAGTACCACGCGCTAACCAACTGCGCCAATGGAGCACGATAGTTCAAGCTAGCCGTTTGATTGAAATTTTGAAATTTCCCAAAAAAATGTGCATTTTCAATAGTGTATCCAAGCAAATACCAAGGTGAACTAAAATTTAGTGCTCCATGGGAGGATCGAACTCCCGACCTTGGCATTCCTTAATCTTATAAGTACCACGCGCTAACCAACTGCGCCAATGGAGCACGACAGTTCAAGTTAGCCGTTTGATTGAAATTTTGAAATTTCCTAGACAGGTGCAGTTTCAATAGTGTACCCAAGCAAATACCAAGGTGAACTAAAATTTAGTGCTCCACGGGAGGATCGAACTCCCGACCTTGGCATTCCTTAATCTTATAAGTACCACGCGCTAACCAACTGCGCCAATGGAGCACGACAGTTCAAGCTAGCCGTTTGATTGAAATTTTGAAATATCCCAAAAAAAATGTGCATTTTCAATAGTGTATCCAAGCAAATACAAAGGTGAACTAAAATTTAGTGCTCCATGGGAGGATCGAACTCCCGACCTTGGCATTCCTTAATCTTATAAGTACCACGCGCTAACCAACTGCGCCAATGGAGCACGATAGTTCAAGCTAGCCGTTTGATTGAAATTTTGAAATTTCCTAGACAGGTGCAGTTTCAATAGTGTATCCAAGCAAATACCAAGGTGAACTAAAATTAGTGCTCCATGGGAGGATCGAACTCCCGACCTTGGCATTCCTTAATCTTATAAGTACCACGCGCTAACCAACTGCGCCAATGGAGCACGACAGTTTAAGCTAGCCGTTTGATTGAAATTTTGAAATTTCCCAAAAAATGTGCATTTTCAATAGTGTATCCAAGCAAATACCAAGGTGAACTAAAATTTAGTGCTCCATGGGAGGATCGAACTCCCGACCTTGGCATTCCTTAATCTTATAAGTACCATGCGCTAACCAACTGCGCCAATGGAGCACGACAGTTCAAGCTAGCCGTTTGATTGAAATTTTGAAATTTCCCAAAAAATGTGCATTTTCAATAGTGTATCCAAACAAATACCAAGGTGAGCTAAAATTAATGCTCCATGGGAGGATCGAACTCCCGACCTTGGCATTCCTTAATCTTATAAGTACCACGCGCTAACCAACTGCGCCAATGGAGCACGACAGTTCAAGCTAGCCGTTTGATTGAAATTTTGAAATTTCCTAGACAGGTGCAGTTTCAATAGTGTATCCAAGCAAATACCAAGGTGAACTAAAATTTAGTGCTCCATGGGAGGATCGAACTCCCGACCTTGGCATTCCTTAATCTTATAAGTACCACGCGCTAACCAACTGCGCCAATGGAGCACGATAGTCCAAGCTAGCCGTTTGATTGAAATTTTGAAATTTCCCAAAAAAATGTGCATTTTCAATAGTGTATCCAAGCAAATACAAAGGTGAACTAAAATTAGTGCTCCATGGGAGGATCGAACTCCCGACCTTGGCATTCCTTAATCTTATAAGTACACGCGCTAACCAACTGCGCCAATGGAGCACGACAGTTCAAGTTAGCCGTTTGATTGAAATTTTGAAATTTCCTAGACAGGTGCAGTTTCAATAGTGTACCCAAGCAAATACCAAGTTGAACTAAAATTTAGTGCTCCACGGGAGGATCGAACTCCCGACCTTGGCATTCCTTAATCTTATAAGTACCACGCGCTAACCAACTGCGCCAATGGAGCACGACAGTTCAAGCTAGCCGTTTGATTGAAATTTTGAAATATCCCAAAAAAATGTGCATTTTCAATAGTGTATCCAAGCAAATACAAAGGTGAACTAAAATTTAGTGCTCCATGGGAGGATCGAACTCCCGACCTTGGCATTCCTTAATCTTATAAGTACCACGCGCTAACCAACTGCGCCAATGGAGCACGATAGTTCAAGCTAGCCGTTTGATTGAAATTTTGAAATTTCCTAGACAGGTGCAGTTTCAATAGTGTATCCAAGCAAATACCAAGGTGAACTAAAATTTAGTGCTCCATGGGAGGATCGAACTCCCGACCTTGGCATTCCTTAATCTTATAAGTACCACGCGCTAACCAACTGCGCCAATGGAGCACGACAGTTTAAGCTAGCCGTTTGATTGAAATTTTGAAATTTCCCAAAAAAATGTGCATTTTCAATAGTGTATCCAAGCAAATACCAAGGTGAACTAAAATTTAGTGCTCCATGGGAGGATCGAACTCCCGACCTTGGCATTCCTTAATCTTATAAGTACCATGCGCTAACCAACTGCGCCAATGGAGCACGACAGTTCAAGCTAGCCGTTTGATTGAAATTTTGAAATTTCCCAAAAAAATGTGCATTTTCAATAGTGTATCCAAACAAATACAAGGTGAGCTAAAAATTAATGCTCCATGGAGGATCGAACTCCCGACCTTGGCATTCCTTAATCTTATAAGTACCACGCGCTAACCAAACTGCGCCAATGGAGCACGACAGTTCAAGCTAGCCGTTTGATTGAAATTTGAAATTTCCTAGACAGGTGCAGTTTCAATAGTGTATCCAAGCAAATACCAAGGTGAACTAAAATTTAGTGCTCCATGGGAGGATCGAACTCCCGACCTTGGCATTCCTTAATCTTATAAGTACCATGCGACTAACCAACTGCGCCAATGGAGCACGATAGTCCAAGCTAGCCGTTTGATTGAAATTTTGAAATTTCCCAAAAAAATGTGCATTTTCAATAGTGTATCCAAGCAAATACAAAGGTGAACTAAAAATTAATGCTCCATGGGAGGATCGAACTCCCGACCTTGGCATTCCTTAATCTTATAAGTACACGCGCTAACCAACTGCGCCAATGGAGCACGACAGTTCAAGCTAGCCGTTTGATTGAAATTTTGAAATTTCCTAGACATGTGCAGTTTCAATAGTGTATCCAAGCAAATACAAAGGTGAACTAAAAATTAGTGCTCCATGGGAGGATCGAACTCCTGACCTTGGCATTTCATAGACCTATAAGTACCACGCGCTAACCAACGCGCCAATGGAGCTCGTCGGCTCCATCTAGCCGTTTGAACGAAATTTCAAAATTCTCTAGACATGTGCAGTTTCAATTTCTATTCGTGATTCTTTGACAATAGTTAGTGTATCCAAGTAAACACATAGGTGAACTCGAAACTAGTGCTCCACGAGGGTCGAACTCCCGACCTCGCCACTTGGTACCACGCACTTACCAACGGAGCCAACCAGTCTAATGTTGCCATTCAATCAGAATTTTTGAATTCCTCAAAAATCTGCACTTACAATTCAGGACGTAATACTTTCACCTTTTTACTGTCTCCTAGTAATCACCAAATTCAGTGCAAAAGTAGTGCTCTTTGGGAGCATTGAATTCCTAAACTTAGCAATTCTGAATCTTAGTCCCATTATCGCCGTTCCAAATCTTGCACGCTGACCGTTGAAAGGAGGCAGCGTCGCGCTATCGCTCGCGCCGCATTCGGTACGGTTAACCTTGCGATTGGAGCACGTAATCTTCACAACGTTGTGGTTTCGTAAAGAATTCAGATTTCCTCAAAATGGTTAAAATATGCCAAAATAATCACAGTTAATGACATATTCGTCAGAAGTGATTATTGCGCATTGCAAATAGATGCTACTCCGTGGCTAATTCGGAAGAATTTTTGTTACTAATGTACCTCAGGAGCTGAAACTTTTACATAGTTGTAGAAGAAGCCTGCTTATGTATAAGATCTACGCAGCATGCAAGAACCTTCACGTCGCGTCCTTGACGAGATTAGTCGAAGTGCAAATGTTGCTTATGCTGGGAACCTTTGACTCACAATATTTATTTAGGCATATTTCTCACAATTTGTACGACTAACGCCTTCACAATAGTCTGGAGAAAATCGCCATGTTATATACACTTTATAAGTGCTTCTCACAATAACATAAGCAATATACACAATAATATACGCAGTACAATTCCTTTTTCTGGGAAATTTTCGACAAGCATAACTTCTAACAGATATGAAATCATCATATCTCATGACTTGACAATGTCCAAGCCAAGGCATTAATTAAGTGTTATCCCTCGGTTGTTTGCGAATAATCGCCTCCTCTTGACCTTTAATGGGTTGTCCCAAGATTTCTTCCGGATTTTGACACTTTTGTTAGTTCAGTTGTTATTTATTTAGGAGAATGAATTGAACATTATTATATGCACCTTCATGATCAGTGACATGCATCCTATGCTAGTCAAAGATCGCATGCCTTGCTCCCAGAATACGAGCCCTAGTAGTGCAGTGGTTAGCACTCTCCTATGGAGGGGTGAGCCGCTGCTCAACTTGCGCCGAAGGTTCAAAGGTTCATATCACCCAGCGTTATTTGATATAATTTGAAAAGTCGACTTTCTATTCAGCTCGGCATCGAGGTCAATTTATGGAAGTATCAAAGACCTAATAATCATTATTTGAGCCACGCATGTCAGTGGTCTGTCAATGAGGGCTGACTTATAGTGCCCGGATACACGTGTTTCGATCTTGCGATCTCGTCAGTCGGGCAGTTGCCCTTTCTCGTCTTTTGCTAATCTCTGTGGGTGCTCCAGCCCCCACAATAAAAGTTAGCGACGACGTACGTTTTACACTCTATGTCCAGTGAAGAACTCACCAAACACAGAGTGTTGTACACTCGAATGCTCGTGGCTAGTATATTTAATATAACATATCTTTCATTTCGAATGTTTTCTTAAGACCACAGCTCAAATTTCAATATATATGCCTGATAGTCATTATTTGAGCCACGCATGTCAGTGGTCTGTCGATGAGGGCTGACCTATAGAGCCCGATACACGTGTTTCGATCTTGCGATCTCAACACTCTGTGTTTGATGAGTTCTTCACTGGGCATAGAGTGTAAAACGTACGTCGTCGCTAACTCTTATTGTGGGGACTGGAGCACCCACAGAGATTAGCAAAAGACGAGAAAGGGCAACTGCCCGACTGACGAGATCGCAAGATCGAAACACGTGTATCGGGCTCTATAAGTCAGCCCTCATTGACAGACCACTGACATGCGTGGCTCAAATAATGATTATCAGGCATATATATATAGAAATTTGAGCTGTGGTCCTAAGAAAACACTCGAAATGAAAGATATCAAAGACCTAGTTGTTAGGGCCGCAACGGGGTTGGTACGCCGATGTTCATTAGGAGCGGATTAATTTTAAATCCTTCATTGACGCTCAACGGAACGAACATCCCCGAATGCTCCAGTTACGTCTATTTAGGTCGTAAAGACAACATAATGGACGACCAACTCCAAAGTTGAAACAGAAGGAAATGAGCATCTTGGGAAGCGTTTAAGAGCATCAAAGGCGTAATGAAGAGAACAAGCAACATCCGACTTTATGCCCATTTTTTTTGGTTAACGGTCATCCTCTGCCTTGAAGTATCTAACAGAATCCGGGTCACTAAGGAGCAGTATGTAGGACTACTTAGCGTTATTGAACAAGCAATTGGAAGCTCAATGCTAGGAATTTCCCGTCATCTCGCAAACGAGGGGAAGGATTTGAAAGATCTGACCTTGCCAACGATTAAAATCAGGAGCACTGATTTACAGGCTAACTAAGGAAGATCAAATAGACTGAACACGCAATACCTTTTATGGACAGCCGATGGGTAAGATTTGATACAGCCTAGATTTTTCGAGATATTAGACGCACAGCTAGAAAGCAGCGGACCAGATGCCAGAATCCTCCATGAAAACTGTGAAAGGAAGGCACGGTGGGAGTCACCAAAGTGGGGAGAACTTAACGGGTTACTTTTGCACACGATGGGGAAAGATGGATGTCTTAGTGGCTCCAGCTAGAGTCTGTGGATCATCTTCGATTGTTAGATGATGTAAAGTCCTTGGAAGCAAAGAGAAGTTGAAGTTGAAAAAGACGTCTGTGCTTGGCTGAAGCCTTCACTAGTTCCTTTAATTCTTTGCTTTTATCAGGAACTTCGTTTCCTAACATCGTTCATTCACTGAGGTCTTCGAATTTCCATGACAATTCGGCTGCCATTTTGTAACTTTTTTTCGTCACAAATGTCATCCAGTACTAATAGAAGTTAATAGAATTCTTAGCTTGATGTAATTGAGGCAATTACAGGTCTTCGCCACAGGTGAACACAGTTCTTTGTGATTCCGAAGAGACGGGTTAATTACACAAATTTGGTACCAATCAACCCACCCCACAATGAGGGAAGCTCGGTTGAGCCAGTACTGTATTTGAAGAAAAATCTGGATCTAATTAGACGGACGCAGAGGGCACCGTTTTCCTTTTGATATTGAGCATTTCACGGTACTTTGTGGTTATAAGGGACGAATGAAAAATAGCCCAAAGTTTACTTTAGTCGTACATGCAAATTCAATTTGTTTTACTCCTTGCGCTACAGAGAAACAGTCTCTTCAGCTTGTAAGTCCCAGCATTGGAATCAGCAACGATTACGTTATCGAATAATTGCTAAAGTCCAAAGAAAGAGCTCTGTCCGGCGGGAAGTATGCGTATCTGCAACGCAAGATATTTCCTTCTGTAGCAACGTCAAAATAGGCTTCTTCGAAAACTTGCTACGTGGGGGTGTAGCTTGATATCTCAGCTTTCGAATTGATTACTAACACTCCTATGAAAAGTTCCTCTCTAGCGAATGAGGTCTTTTTTCATTTGTCGCCTTATAACCACAAAGTACCCATTTCACCTTCGTTCCTACTTTTGCTCGGTCCTTTTGAAGACACGTAATGGGCAATAGCAGAGAGACAAGCGTGAAAAACTTAAATATGTGATATTATATGTGAGCAAGACTTCTCGCCCGTGTTTGTACGAACTATAAGAATGTATTTATTTCGACAAAGATCATATTTCACGAATTTTACGGGTTTTGTTCTTAACTTCAAGCTGTGTGTAGCATTGAAAAAGTGAAAAGGTGGAAGGTGGATTTCATTGAGGGTACCACAACATTTTTATTAGCCATTCACAAGTAATCGTCAAATAAACAACTAAGTCACAACAAAGAGCAAGCAATATACTTGTAAACCCGACAACTAGGAAATGTTTTGAGGTCATGAGAGTTTTTTCTTAATTTCAGTAGTGTAGAAATTCTACAACAATAACGCATTGAGTTATAAAGATCGGTTTTGGAGATCTACTAATAAATAGTCCTAAGAATCACCTCGTAAGATGCTGTGATGATATGGTAAAAAGCCACCTATGATTTCGTATTCAAATGTATTACTGAAACAAGCTGGGATCAATACGAATAGGTTGAGAACAGATTAAATGCTTGAAGGCAGTAACGTCGACACTTGCAAGATCATCGGGAAACATCTGAAAGTTATATGTAGTCATTTAAAGGCATCGCAAGTGTAAGAACTATGTATTTAGCTCATATATTACTCATGTTTATTTAGAAAAATTTGTTCTGCCAGTTTGAAGCAAACGTAGCTCACCTCGTATGAACTTTATCATTTAAGTACAACTCAACTGAATTGGAAAAAAAATTCGAAATTTTTGCCCTCACATGAGCGGGCAGATAAAAGAGGGCTCTCGAGGACTTCAAGGCTCTTATCAAAAGACCCTAATTTTTTGCCAAAATAACCTCACTCGTTTCTCAAACAAAAATTTCATATCGCGCTTGAATAGGT